ATTATAGAAAATATTACACCTCATACCTGATTTTTTTAAGTACGATCTATAAATAACAATTTGACAACATCGAAATTTTCTCCACGATCAGCAGCGTGTAAAATATTATCATCGTTCTGAAAAAGAAAGGTTTCATTGTTCCCATTAAATACGTAAATATTTACAATGCTGCTGCAAATTCAAAAAAACTATATGCCATTCTTGAGTGTTATGTCGTCGTAATATGGATGTTCACAAGTTATCTCTTTTATATCTAAATTTGAAGTCAGCTTTCAGTATATGTAATTAATATATATCATACATGACAAGACCAGTTTATTTTTTTTGGAGGGAGGAAAAAGAACTGAAAGCTCTTCTAATATGTTTTGAGAATATAAAAATAACAAACATCATAATACAAAATAAAATAGGTTTATTAGTACACATTTCTTTATAAAATTCGGATAATATGAAACCTATAATGGTCTGCAGAACTACTAGACAATTGATACTTAACTCGTACATATATAACCTTAACAATGTAAATTCACTTGTAATGTTTGAACATGATATCTAGCCGAGAGCATTGCATCAGTCTATCCAAACACAGTCCCACTTCTGCAAATCCAAAACTGGTTACACTTTTTTCTGAATAGCAAATTAGATCTGCTGCACCTAATTGAATGTGTTACAGTCAAACCTGGGTAAACTGGACCCTGAATAAACAAAATTCCTTTCTATTCCGGCCGAAAATTGAAGTCCCATTATTTCCCCTTTAAAGTCTTTGTAAACATATCCCTTGTAAACTTGACGCTGTGTATTCCGAATTCCAGTCTAATTATGCAGTCCCAATACTCTTAATTACATTAATAATTATCTGTCAAAACCGGTTTGTTAAATTAATTTAACATGATAACAGTATTGATCGATTTGAAATCAAAACATAATAGTTTATACAAGATAGTTTTTCATGATAATCAATTAGCAAGGTGTTAAACCATGAACCTACAGTAGACTCATTGAGCTTTATTATTGAAGCAGTATTAATTTTTAATTAAAATAAACTAAAAAAAAAAAGCCGAATATATCTCAGATAGAAATTACCTTGTAATCTTGATAAATTTTCAAATCGCGGAGTAAGAAATTTACATTGTGTCTTCAAAATGCTGGGTTCCCTGTTCTGAACCCCGACACAAATGACCCTGATAATGAAGAAGACCTGGATGACGACATTTCATTGTCGAGTTTATGGGTATCGTACATTGAGCGACAATATTTCGATCATGATGAAATTTCGTTTGATAAAATTCTTGCTTTTTAATTGGCTATACCGACGTAGGAAATGAACGATAGAAGTAAAACGAAACTCTCGTGAAACAATTCAAACAATGCGAGAATTATGATGCAAATGAAAAAAAGAATTTAAAATGAAACTGAAACTGACGAGTCGGAGGATGATGTTACCGAGGTCGATTTGACATACGAGGATATGTAAAAAAAAATCAGGAGGTAAACAATTTCTGAAATTTCTAAAGCCAATGAATGCAAAGACACAAAACAATGATCATGCGTAGTTTAATGATGAAAGACAGGAACAATTGTAATGTTCATGTCACAATGTCTTCACACAAATCATGACATAACTTTTAATAAATAGATTATTACGGTATTTGTATTTATTAGTTTACAATTTAGAATGAGACAGAACTTTTACATGCAGTATATCTGACGTCACAAGTCAATAACTGCCTGTCAAAACGGAAACCTGAATAAACCGACCCACTGTCCAAATCGGTCCTTTTTCACAGTCCCATGGCCGGCCGGATTATACAGGTTTTAATGTAATAAAATAATAAAAATAACACACGAAAATATTGAATGCGTATGATGAAAAATGGTCTAGACTTACACAAATAATAGGGATCATTTTATCTATCCGGGAATAAAGGGCTAAAATGAAAAACAAATAAACTTTAAAGAGAAAAACATCAGGATATATAGAAAACTACAAAGAATAATTATTGTAAGTTAAAATAAAAAGGATCGATGTTGGTCAACTGGGGCGAAACATAAACATCTTCAAATGCATGTTATACAGTAAAAACTGCAATCCTCTAATTTCTTTAGAGCTACACAAAACTTTTGTTGGTGATGATTATTATTTTGTATTTTTGACACCAGTGTGCGAAAAATCATAGATACATATTCCTTGTTTGTTTTTGTAAAGGAATATTTGTCTTTGTGGCGAACAACACTGATTATTGTGGATTCATTTATTTTTCTCGGGTATCAATTTTCGTAAATTGAGGAAAGCTTGCATTTTCGTGGATATTTGATTTCGTGGTTTTGCCTATCTCTACAGACAAAGCCTATAGAAAATGCATTATTCGCTAAACATTTAAATTCGTGGTTCACCTGTACCCACAAAACCCACGAAAATTGGTATCCAACGAATAATAATGAATCCACAGTAATACAACAATTACACTTGAATCATAATCATAATATTAATGTACTTTTTGGATCGATAACATATGTGTTGTGTTAAGTGGATTGATATGTCATCAGATAATCGGTATCTCAATGGGAACCAATGAGAATTTCCGATTGTGACATTTCAATGAATATTGATTTTCATGGCGGGTGGCGTTTGTATACCAAGAAATGCTTACCTTACCCGACCCACCCAATCTAGCTCTATTTATATTTGATAATATTCCCTCATTTTCTTGTTTTATCTTGATTTGAATGTTCTTAATGAATGTATGATATTTAACATAATTAACTGTTGTTTGCTTCCAACTTGAATTTATAATTATCACACACGGAAGCCTCATGAAGAATGCGATTTTGTTACAAATTTTAAATGCGAAATTTGCAATTTCTACGTTTTACCGAGAATACAAAACAGTCAATAGATAACTGTCGACCGATAGATGAAAATTGCAAACAAATTGGATTCAATCTACATTTACTTAACTTGTAAAAGATTTGAAATTAAAAACGATACTTGCAAGCTTTTATTGGGAAAATAATCAATTTAAGTTATTAAAATTTTCTTGGATAATTATTGGCGACGCATTAAATATGATAGACTATCTACTGAAAAGGGCAAAACAGATGCATAATTAGAATAATTTGATGAAGGTGAAATAACATTAAACCCATGCCTTTGGATTTGAAATTAATCATTTGATTCGAACAAGTATCGCACAGTACATCCAGACCGTTTACCGAGATAATTCTTCACCCAAGGATTTAAATTTCTTTTACAAATTAACTATTTCTACTTCGATGGAAAACAAACTTACACATATAAATGTAACCCACAGCAATGGGGCGACATGTACTCCAACTTGTGCGAATCAGGCAAAGTCGTTTAAAGAGAACAGAATAAATAAGAAAAATTATAAAAATTACCATGCATTGCAATGACGTTTGAAAATACATATTTGACACTGAATACATGGAATACGATATCAAGCTAAGATAATTGTCTTAATGGATTGATTGTTCATGTGATACTATTCGTGGCAATTGAAATATTTGGTATTCAAATTATAAGATAAAGGTAAAAATATTGAAAAAGATATAATTCAAACGACCGAGTAAAACAGCAATGTTTACCTCAATAACAAAAACACCTACAATACATATACTGTAATATTTTGCCCGACCAAACACCATTGTCCACTGAATTTAATAAACGTGACATTCAAAAGACCAGAAATAAAACACAAAATAACTGCAAGAATTCTGCATTTTACATAAACAAGAACAAATCATATCATATTATTGCATTTGGAAAAAAAAAAGGACAAAGGTCATTTGATGTGTGGAAATATATTTTCAATAATATTTTATTTCATCTTATTCGACTGTTATTATTTTTATCAGCAATCGGTGCACACATCTTGTATATACTTAAACCAGACGATAGATTTTAGAAACCCCACAGAAGGTCCAATGAAAATATAACATATGTAAAAAGAACAGAAGATCTGTTGATGTCGAGTTTCATTTCAAATAAGGCACCAACAATCAGATTTTCCCTTAAAAATCTTCGTTGGGCACTCCAACCGGTTTTACCTCTGATATATTCATTGATGTCAATAATGTGTGTTGTCAACAATTGATCGACGTTATAGTAGAAGTGAGTAAAGGTCACGTTAAGACATTATCTTACAGCACAAATCTGGTTAATTGTATGCCCTTTTGAAAGTTGGTTTCTCTTCTTTTCTATTTATGTTGACATAATATAAAACTATAACAGTGTGAATAAAGTTAACACGTGGATACTGATTTCCAGCACATGTTTCTAAATATTTGCTAAAGCTAATTGTTTAAAAACAAAACGCGACTTTTATGTGCTTACGGCATGCCAGTTTCTTAATCAAACCGCAAATTTCAAGATTTCAATAACAGAAATTCATTAGTCAAGGGAATGTTCAGCTACAGAAACATACTTTAATCACTTGGACGTTCATATGATAGGTCATTCATTGTTACAGTTTATTTGCTGAATATACATTCTATAGTACCTTATTTAAGGTGTTCAAATTTTTTTTTTTTTTTATCTTTTACTCAATGTTTTGAAACCACCACCTCCCCCCCCCCCCCCTAGATCCTTTTATGTTGTGTATACTTCCATAGTCCTTAGCATTAGTTCTACTTATATATTTCATATCAATTATCCAAACACATATTTTTCGTCAAAATTTTATTTTAAAATGTTTGGTTTTTGGATATCATGTGTGTGTAGTGATTGTGTTTCGTGCATTGATACACCCCTTCTTTTGTTTCTTTTCAGTATTTTTTTACAAATCCAATCTACCCATCCCCTTAATTTTCAAAAGTGTTGGATGAATTATGCATTACTGCTTGATCTAGACTGCAATTATAAAAGTGATGTTAATTTGAATTTCATTCATTATTCTGAATTAAATTATGGTGTGATTTGCCTTTTGTTATTAAAAGATTAAAAAGATTTGTTATCTTATTATGATCCCTATTATTTCTAGGATGGGAACACTGCATTTGACATAGCGGCAGAATCCGAATATTTTGATATAGTCAAACTGTTATCAGGAAGAACAACTATAGATCCAGCAAGAGTATATGAGGTATGTAGTGTACTGCTTGAGATGATTTTCAACCGTTGCTTAATCGGCACAGACAACGTCAGACTCAGTGTTCACACATATATATTTGTTCCCACCTTATAAATAAACGAAATACCGAAGAGGAAAAAGGACTTACAGTTACCAAGAAGAAATCACAGGCATCCATTTTGTCTGATTCTTTCAAACTCAGTAGATGGTAGACAGTGGTGGTTTTATAAAGAAAGAAAAAAAGAGTCAAGTGGAATCATCTTAAATCGGAAACAATCAAACTAAACGTCCACAAAGTATTACTAACATAACTTATACAGGTTACTTTTATAATAGAATATTTTAAAATGAAATCGTATCTCATTTATTTTATCTGTTACCTCCCTGTTATTAAATGTTGTCTTTAATAGAAAATTTGTGAGGCTCATGCATTTTTTACCTTTTGCTTAAGTACTGGTAATATGTCAACATTATTTTGTATTTCAGGATGGAAACACTATCTTACACAAAGCTACTAGAAAAAGAGAACTCGAATTGGTCCAATTGTTACTAGAAATATCAAATATAGATCCAAATCAAAAGAATAAGGTATCAGTTACTATGCATTTCAATCCGTCGTAAAATTGCAACGTGTCAAGTCTTATGATCATAAAACTGGATCCCACAACAACTAGCTGCATAAATTGTGTATAATAAAAACTGAACAAATCTTCCCTTATTTAGTACAAATGTAACAAATGGAAAATTAATGCTCAAGTATGTGGATCAGTTTAAACTTTAAAGGTATGTGTGATGCTTAGTCTTAAATTTTTATGTAGTGTTCTTAATGTTGTCGTTTGTTTTAGTTTTAGCCATTGTATTGTCGGTTTTTTAATGATTTGTGGTTGTCTTTTTTAAATTTTCTGCTTCTTTCTAAAGTGCTATTTCAGATTTTTTTTTTAATTTTCATGCAGTGTATATGTCATACTTTAATGTTATAGACCAAGGTATGTTGCGATAGGTTAATTACGTCAAGTATTGTCATTTTATTGAACATCTGTACTATACCGTTATATTTGAGTGAAGTTCTATTCCTTTAACGGATTTGTTTTTACACTCTTTTTCACGGATCGAGAATAAAGCAACACTTGGAGGGTAGAGATCTAAAATAACAACTTAACATCGCCATATTTCTGTGTATCTGTTTCAAGTCAGCAACCTGTAAAATATATGTCCGAAGTCATATGTGTTCATGTTGATCGTTTTTAGGCGTATGTTTATATGGTAGATCTTTGATTGCCTTACCTGTGAAATTTATTATTATTTGACTAAACAATTAGCTTGGAAATATTTCATAATTTTAGGTTTGACAGTATTGTTACTGTCTATATGTTGTCGTTTAGTTGCTGTTTCATTGACATAAACACTGCTTCACTTTTAACCGTATAAATTAATATCAACATTATCATCCATTGATGATAAATTGTGTCGTATTTGTTGTGTTTATATTGGAAAACACATGTTTAAGTAATTTGATGGTAAAAGTAAGACCAGTGGTGACAGTTTTGTCTGCAAAGATTAGAATATAACTAGTATGGCTATGTTATGTCTGTAATGGAATCGTCTTTAGAATGCCATATCTCAACAGTCACGAACAAGAAATGTTATCTTTAATTTTCCTTATGCTGATTATTACTCAATGAATTAATTACCTTATTTAGAAAAATGAAGTAAATACTTGTGTATGATTTCCAATTATTTGTCATCATTTAAAAGGTAACTGATGTGCGTGCATTGCGAAGCTTAAATAGATATAAGAAAATGTGGTATGAGTGCTAATGAGACAACTCTACATTTAAGTCACAATTTGTAATAGTAAACCATTATAGGTCAAAGTACGGCCTGCAATACGGAGCCTTGGCTCACACCGAACAGCAAGCTATAAAGGGCCCCAAAAATGACTAGTATAAAACCATTCAAACAGTAAAACCAAAGGTCTAATTTATATAAAAAAACGGGAAACGAGAAACACTTATCACCACTTCAACAAACGACAATCACTGAACATCAGGTTCCTGACTTAGGACAGGTTTATTATAAAGTAAATTGTTATAAGGTTACATCTAAAAGAAACAGCCTTTTGATGTCCTAATAATGTTACTATTATTATATGTACCAACTCTTCTCAATATACATTTAGGGAAAAAAGGATTATGCCTCAAATTCAAAAGATTGCTACGTATGCATATCGACGTATTCTATAAGATTTTCCAAAATCATATTAATATTAAGATTCTATTATGTTTAAATAAAAAAAGAAGATAAGAAGCAGAAAATGCAGAAGTGATATATTTGTGTTATCATTATACCATATTTACACTCGACTGTACCTTCAATTTGAATACTTGTATATAGTCTTTTCATAGCTTTCCATGTACTTTAAAACAGAACAGTCATATAACTTGTTTGCTACGATGTACAGTCTTCAGTAATCACCAAATACGGGTGCTTTTTTCATGTATTTCGGTATGTCTGCCATCTCCTATACACAAAAACACATTTGCTGAAAGATAGGTCTTAGTTAAATGCAATTTTGGGAAATTATACTTACGAGAATATCTTAACATCATTTTTTAAAGTTTCGCTTCTACTAACAGCTGTACAGAAATTGACAAAAAAAAAATCACTATCTGTATGCACACTTACGTTGCTTACGAATAGCTAAAATTTTTTAAAACATTTCTTTACTATGCGCTGGCAAGTTTATACCGGGAATTCCTTTCCAATATTATTAATAATTGATGCAATATAAAACAATGAAATGAATTCTTCTGTATTACTCGACGCATTCGGTAAAGTTCATTCGATTTCTCCAGTTTGTGTTTTGTTAAATTTGATTTGTCTTCTTAATCAATTAATAAGATTAGAACATCTAGAAGTTTCTGTTAAATATGATAGGTTATCGTCTAAAAATGGCAAAACAGATACATAATTAGAATAATTTAATGAAGGTGAAATAAAATAAACCCATGCATTTGTATTTGAAATTAATCATTTAATTCGAAAAGTATAACACAGTACATCCTGACCGTATACCGAGATACTTATTTACCCGAGGAATTAGTTTTACAAATTAACTATTTCAACTTCGATGGATAACACACTTACAAATATGCATGTATCCCACAGCAATGGGACGACATTTACTCCAATTTGTGCGAATTAAGCAAAGGCGTTAAAAGAGAACAGACAAAAATAGAAATATAACACAAATTACCATGCATTGCAATGACGTTTGAAAATACATATTTGACAACTGAATGCATGGAAAACGATATCAAGCTAAAATAATTGTTTTTATTGATGGATTGTTCATGTGATACTGTTCGTGGCAATTGAAATACTTGGTATTCAAATTATAAAGAAAAAGGTACAGATATTGAAAACGATATAATTCAAACAACCGAGAAAAACAGCAATGTTTACCTCAATAACAATAGAACCTACAATACATATACTGTAATATTTTGCCCGACCAAACAGTATTGTTCAGTGAATTTAATAAACATGGCATTCAAAAGACCAGAAATAAAACACAAAATAACTGCAAGAGTTCTGCATTTTTACATAAACAAAAACATATCTTATCATATTATTGCATTTGGAAATAAAAAAGAACAAAGGTCATTTCCTGTGCGGAAATATTTTCAATAATGTATTTTTTTTCATTTTATTCTTATATAATTATTTTATCAGCAATAGGTGCACACATCTTGTATATACATAAACCAGACGAATAATTTTAAAAACCCCACAAAAGGTCCAATGAAAAGACAACATATGTAAAAAGAAGAGAACATCTGTTGGTGTCGAGTTTCATTTCAAATAAGGCAACAACAATCAGATTTTCCCTTAAAATTCTTCGTTGGGCACTCCAACCGGTTTTACCTATGATATATACATTGATGTCAATAGTGTGTGTTGTCAACAATTGATCGACGTTATAGTAGAAGTGAGTAAAGGTCACGTTAAAACGTTGTCTTACAGCACAAATCTGGTTAATTGTATGAACTTTTAAAGTTAGTTTCTTTTCTTTTCTATGTATGTTGACATAATATAAAACTATGACAGTGTGCATAAAGTTAACACGTGGATACTGATTTTCAGCACATGTTTCTATATATTTGTTAAAGTTTTTTGTTTTGAAAAAAAAAAAACGCGACTTTTATTTGTTTATGACATATCAGTTTGTCCTATGTAATACTAACTAAACGTAAAATATGTAAGAAAATAGATCATGTTTTTTGACGCACGTGTTCAAAAAGTGTTCACGAAAACAATCCTTTTCTGTGGTTCTTTGTTAATCAAACCGCAATTTCAAGATTTCAATAACAGAAATTCATTAGTCAAGGGAATGTTCAACTACAGAAACACACTTTAATGACTTGGTACGTTCATATAATAGGTCATTCATTTTTAAAATTTATTTGTTGAATATACATTCCACAGAATCTAATTTAAGGTGTTCAAATTTATGTTTTTATTATTCACTCAATGTTTTGTAACCCCCCTTTATTTCCCCATGTATGCTGTATTCTTCCAATTGAACCTCTTTTAAAATACTTTTAACAAGGTAGGTGTCAAATTCATTTCAGATCCGTTTATGACTTGTATACTTTTATAGTCCTTAGGATTAGTTCTACTTATATATTTCATATCAATTATCCAAACACATATTTTTCTTCACAAACTGATTTTAAAATGTTTGGTTTTTGGATATCATGTGTGTGTAGTGATTGTGTTTCATGCATTGACACCCCCTTCTTTTGTTTCTTTTCAGTTTTTTTTTTTACAAATTCAACCAGCCCATCCCCTTAATTTCCAATAGTGTTGGATGCATTATGCATTACTGCTTGATCTAGACTGCATTATAAAAGTGATGTTAATTTGAATTTCATTCATTATTCTGAACAAAATTATTGTGTGATTTGCCTTCAAAAGCATCCACATTATCTGATTCTTTCAAACTCAGTAGATGGTAGACACTGGTGGTTTTATAAAGAAAGAATCAGGTTGAATCATCTTAAATCGGAAACAATAAAGTTGAAAACAAAATATCTAAATTAGCTTATCTGTTACCTTTTTGTTATTAAATGTTGTCTTTTACAGAAGATATGTGAGGCTCATGAATGTTTAACCTTTTGCTTAAGTACTGGTAATAAAATAAGATTTATTTTTCAGGATGGAAACACTGTCTTACACAAAGCTGCTAGAAGAGGAGAACTCGAATTGGTCGAATTGTTACTAGAAATATCAAATATAGATCCAAATCAAAGGAATAAGGTATGAGATTTATGCATTTCAATCCGTCGTAAACTTGCACCGTGTGAAGTGTTATGATCATAAAATCGTCTATGACAACAACTAGCTACACAAATTGTGTTTAATCACAACTGAACAAATCTTCCCTTATTTAGTACGTTTTCCAGGTGAAAATTAAGTTTTGTAACAAATATTGCTCGATCAATCTTAACCTTTAAATTTAGTCTAGATTTGTCTGAATCATCCCATCTACCTCAATTATATATTGATCCTACAAAATCCCAGGTTATTTGGTAGTTTGATTCTTTGCGGTCAGATCAAAGGATTTAATTAATAGGTAAAAAAAAGCTAGAATTTTCAGTTTTGATTCAATTCAGATAGTCACCTTTAACTATTTCTATAACTTTTTCAAATCAACTTGGATTTTCACACATCTTTACAGCTATCTTAATTATACTTTAAGTTAGATAATGGCAAGTGTATAACCTTCAGTGCGAATGCAGTATTCAATTGAACTTTTGTAGTATCTTTCCGATGAGTGAATGTATAAAATGCCATAAAGGAAAAGAGTTAAGCCAATTAGTTAACCCTTTCCATTTCCCACCGGTACAGGATTCATATGAGGCAAGCTTGAAAACATTTTTTACAATACCTCTTGTATCATCGACATTGTTTAATGTACAGATGTGGTAAAGGGCGCAAATTAATCTTCATAATACCCGCTTTGTGACTAAATGTGATTCAAACTTTCATTATTATCTGTTGATGGTCGATATACCTCTTACTGAAAAAAATTGTTGTTTGTTTTTCAGTAAAAACCTCTTTTCTCATTAAATTCTAACAGAATATTTTCACCAAGTAGTGCAAGGAATACTTTTTTTGGTTTTTTTTTTTAGGGGGGTAAAAAAGTATATTTTTAACAACTGTGCTGTGGACTTTGGAAGACTAATATCAGAATAATAGAAATAACATGTACCCTAGTAAAAAATGTAATTTCTAATGTACCAGCGCAATTAGAAACTTAAGGTGCGCTAACAATTCCTAATATTTTTTTACAGAAATTATTGAAAAAACTTACTAAAACCGCTTCAATATCCTGAAATTTAATTTAACCTAATTTTACTGTCTATTTCAAAAAAGAAAACCAACTACATACAGACAAACTTTTATTTCTGTTTGTAGTCTTGTATGTTTTTTTAATATTTGTTTACTTATATGATTTGGAGTTAAGTATGACATCAATTTCACTTAACTAGTATACATGTTTGTTAAGGGGCAAGCTGAAGCCCTCCTTCGGGTGCTGGATTTTCTCGTTGTGTTGAAAACCTATGGATGGCCTTCGGCTGTTTTCTGCTCTTTTCTCGGGTTGGTGTCTCATTGAAACTTTCCCCATTGTCCCACTCAATTTTATGTAAGTTTCAAAAGATAGTATGTACCCAGATGCTACCCCGCCCCTTTTTTTCCTTTTAGCTTGATTGGGCTCGGTTTGAATGAACACGTTTTAGACAAAAACTTAACTAGTGACTTTTGGAAAGATATCACGTGGCCTATAAAAACCCGAATCATCTTCAAATTTTATTTTTTGCTAATATTCGATCAACTATCTTTCATATGAGTCCAATATGGCAAGTTTGTACACTTCTAATTAAGGTGCAAACTTCAAAAGCATTCGGACACATACTTTGATTCATACAGTTGTATAAATGGCTCATACCTTTTGAGTGCCCTAGTGTCCATGGTTATCAGCCGTATCTATTTAATACGCAAACTTTACTATCGACTGTCGAATTTGACTACGACCACTGACCTCTTTTTACACCGGAAACGGATTTCGGTCTACTCGAATTCTCTTTTATAAAAAAATGTTTGTAGCAATTAAAGATTTTTTAATATAATATATATGTTCCTAAAACAGACAGAGTTGTTTCTGGATCATCTATTGTTTCTATTTCAAGACCTTCTCATAACTTACACAGACTTATTAGCTAGTTTTTTTTTCAATAAAAAAGTAAAGACTAGAAAAACACCACTGCATGCAACCTTCATGCTACCGGAAGTCGCAAATTGATATAATTTATCATGAGTAATAAAGGCTGTAAGTTTTCGTCCATTGGCATTTGATAATAATCCATTGTCAAATCAGGTCCTGAATAAATTTTGGCATTAAATTTTCTTTAAGCATCAAATACATTATCTATAAGAGGCAGGGGATGCTGCTGAAGAATGATTGATTTATTAAGTGAACGAAAAGCAATACGTAGTCTCAAGATGTTGTCTCTTTAACATATGTTCGCTAGTGGGTTCCTCTGTTATATTTTATTCAAGAAGAAGTTCCTGCCTTTGAATTTATTGTTTATCAGCTTGCGATGTACTATACTGATGGGATTTAACAGGCGAGCCATTTCCGGTATTACATTTACGCGTATATCTCTGATATCTCTAAATTGATTGCAAACACATTACTATTTGGTTAATATTTAATTTTTTATCTTTTTTTGTTTTTGTTTGTCTGACAAACCAGCTTTTGGTTAGCATGATAAATCAAATTGAATATCTCTTTGATTTGAATTGGTTTATATATAATTTAAGGTGGAACAGTGAATTTATGTGCACTTGACATCGTCTTAAATTAAGACGTAACTTTAATCAAATTATTAATATTAGCTACAATTTACCACGACTTTAAAGATAAGACATCGTATATGGGTTTTAAAATTTAAGAGAAACATTTGTTGTTTGATTTTTGATTAAACATCTATCTATTAGAAAAAAACTTGTTCTTAAATTATTTGAGTGGTTTGAATGTAATGAATCTTTAATTCAAGATAAACACTTTTTTCTTTGAACAAAAACTGTTACTTAGATCATACAATGCCTTTAAGCTGGTGTAATATAAACATTTTGAGAAATGACTATTCCACGTATAACAAAATGTAATTAATTTGACCTTTTACTAGGTAAGTCATATACATATAAAATTTTCCCTACAACTAAAGATTTTGCGGTGGTGAAAATGATCATAGAATAATAACACAATGACGGGATGTATTAGTACAGAGTCACGTCAAATGGGTATCACCAAAAATAAACTAAACAGTAAAAGTAATATTCATAAAGACAAAAAAAAAAGGAATACTATAACACGTTATTAAGATAATAAACAAAGTCAGTATCCAGAATTTGTATCATCGTGTATTATTTGTGAAGTTGATACGGAATATTTATCAACAAGGTATTGGTACCTTCTGATGAACTGTTTTAGGAAAAGGACGAGACGTTCTTGACATACCCCTGGTTCATCAACTTTCTGCTCAGACACTGGTGACGTTTTACAGTCTGAGTAGGAGCTGCAAGCTCTTGAATACCGAATCAGTTGGGAAATGTATATCCCATATGCAGGTGAAGTTGGTATATTGATACTAAGGTGCGGAATTGATAATTTCAAAATTAAAATCGTCTTTTTGTTATAAATTCTGGTACTGAGATGACCGTGTATGTCAAATTTGAGATATAAGTCTAAAAATGAGGCGGGGGAAGCTGTATCTGTTGTTTCTTTAATTTCTAGTTCTGGGGGATATATCAATGTACCCCAATCAGAAAAGTTTGGATTGTTAATGGAAAGAACATCATCAATATATCTGAATGTGAAATTAAATGACCTGGCTTCTTTGATATTTTTGTTTTTGACAAGTACCTGAAGGAACTCCGATTCATATGAAAATAAGAAGAGGTCAGCATGCACAGTTCGTTCCCATAGGAATGCCGACAATTTGTTGAAAAAGTCTACCTCCAAATTCAACAAATATGTTGTCAATAAGAAACTCCAGCATACTGATCACTTGATCCTCTGTGTAGCATGTTTTACCTTTTGGTTCACTATAAACAATATATGCCGTATGGTATCCCAAAGTAGAAAAATGTATAGCGTATTCAACCATTTTTATGTTGAAAAGCATTGTGAATTATTTCTTTTAGACAATTTTTCAATTTCACATGGGGAATGGTGGTATACAGAGTTGAAAAACCAAAGGTTTTGATAGAACTAATTTCAGAAAAAGGTCGTAAAATCATATGCAATGAAATTTCGTTTAATTTTCTATGAAATAAAAAAAAAATCTATTTAATATAAAATTTGAATTAGAATATTTCTTTAAAACAATTATCGTGAAACATAAATACTTGATAATTTTTTTAAGCAAAAATCAACTTATCAAAGATTTTTTCATAATATTCATATTTCCAAAAGTTCTTTATAATATATATGTCTTCTGTTGTGTACACGGAGAAGAGAAAATATCTATTTGTACGTTGATGAAAACTTTTGTATATCACAAAATCTAAACTCTGGAAATACATGTATACACAGGATGTTAATGTCACCTGGTGGCTTTTGGTTTGACACGATTCTTTTACACTATCTGACAATATATTGTTATGTAACATTATAACCTAAGTCAGAGTTCACCTGTTCGTCAAGGGACATTAGTTTTTTTTAAAGGTACAGAATATTTATCTATAATAATTGTTGGGTTGGGCATTATTTTTTTCTCTTGGGACAAAAACATTTTTTTTTCTAAAAGAAATATATATTTATATATATATATATTTCTAAATAAAGATAAGTTATACATAAAACAGGGAAAATACCTTAAAAAAAGGAGCAAAAAATAATTTTATTATAAATCGCAGTGTTAATTATTTTCTGGGAACAGTATATTTTGGATATCTGTCAAAATAAATGTTCCCGTGTTTTTTATTACACTTTACACTTGAAATCATTTATTTTTCATCAAGAAATTTTGAAATCAATCATATCGAAATATCATTAAAGAAAAAAACAGAAACAGCACAGATTCTGCATGCAAATACACGATGATTAAAATTAATGCGACAATTCCAAACACATCCGCCATTTTGAAAAATCCCGAAAAATCACTCTTTTAAATCGATGTGGGACGTAATTTGCTCTAAAATTAAACTGTTTTAAGTAGAATATTTCGCCAGATATATGTTTAAATATACTCAAT